CTGAAGTTTAAAGAATTTTCCTGGAATAATCAGAATTTACAGGTATTTTCCTGAAGTTTTCAGGTTTTCAGAACTTTCCAAAAGTATGCTGGACTTTCCTTAAGCTCGCAGAATTTCATTCGAATTAATGAAAGTTTTCTGAATTTTCCAAAACTTTGCAGAAGTTAATTAAAAAATTCAGAAGTTTTTGGAATATTCCGGAAGCTCCCGGATGTTCACTGAATTTTCCTGAAGTTATCTGATTTTTTCTGAAATTTGTTAAATTTTCTTGACGTTCACAGAACTTTCATGTTTGAACTTTACTTAATTCCACAATATTTTCGTGAAATCTTAGAATTTCATTGCAGTTTTTCAGAAGTGAGCTGACCTTTTTTGAAGTTTGCAAGATATTCCTGATGTTTGAAGCTTTTAAAACTTTCTTGTAACTGTGCACTGTACTATAGAATACGCACAGATTTTTTTTTCAAATAAATTGTTCTAGAATGCTTTTGAAGTTTGCAGTCTGCCTTGAATTTTGAAGATTTTTTTAAAAATCTACAGACTTTCCTGAATCTCGTAGAATTTTTCTGAAGTTCATAGACTTCCCTAAAGATAAATTTTCGCATGTTTGTAGAACGTTCCGGTAGTTCAGTGAAATTTGTAAAAGTTCAGAAAACTTAACTGTAAGTCTTATTCGACTTTTGTAGAAGTTAAGCAAACTCTAGATATGTTCGTGGAACTCCGTTGAAATTCAAGGATTTTTCTTTAACTTCAGGGTACTTCGTAAAACTTCTTGAACTTTGAAAAAGTTCAAGGAACATCGTAGAAAATTTGGAATCTTCGTAGAAATTTGGAAACATTGTAACAATTCTGGAAACTACGTAAAAGTGGGAACTTTGTTCAAATTTGAGGAATATTGAAGAAATTGAAGAAACATTGTTTAATTTGGAGATCCTCATAAAAGTTCTGGTATCTTTAAATTTGAAGGCACTTTATTGAATTTAATGGACATGATTTAGTTCAGGAAATTTCATACCTGTTCTAAAAACTTTGCGGAACTTCAGGGAGCTTTGCAGATAATCAACGAGAAACGTAGAAATGCAGCATGCTTCATATAATTGCAGCAAAATTCGTTGTAGTTTAGTGAACTTTGTGAAAGTTTGGCTATTTACGTAACAATTTGAGGAACTTCGCTATACTTCATAAAACTAACAGATTTTTATAAAAGTTCAGAGAACAGAGAGACAGTTTGACAATCTTTGTTGAACTTCAGCATAGTTCGTAGAAGTTCAGGCAAATTTCGTAGAGGCTCAGAGAATAGTTCAGCAAACTTGGTGGAACTTCAGGGATTTTCTTATCAGATTAAGCAACTTCCCAGTAGTTTGTCAGAGATATAACTAAAAACTAATAAAACAATTGGAGCTTGGAAGATGTTCAGGGAACTTTGTGGAAGTTGAGGAAAATTTGTAAAAGTTAAGGGAAGTTTTTAGATGTTTGGGGAACATTGCATTTTATAGGATATTTGTACAAGTTCAGGTAGGTAGGCAGAAATTCAGTAAACTACTTGGAAATTCCCACAAGTTCAGGGGACTCCGTAAAGGCTAAGGAACCTTCGGATAAGCTCAATGGATTGGAGATAAGCTCAGAATAAACTTTGTGGAAGTACTGGAACCTTCGTGAAAGATATTCGATACAATATCAATAAAGTACTCTAAATATTTTTCAAGACTTCAGGTGAATTATTATGAAGATCTGTAAATGTTCAGCTCACTTTCAGCTCAGCATCCATCAGTTGTATCTCTCGGTTTCGATCGCTATCGACAGTTTGTTTACTCGATTAAGTGATTTTTTGGAGCGTTTTAGATCTTTGCCAGCAACTCGATCGCTTTTGTCATTGCCCTTGAAAGCAAATAATTTGAATAGTGGTGTTGAAATTAAGAATACTGTCAAGATTTCTGTCGGGAATGGAAATGCGAAACACACCATGGGTAAAAATGTTAATTTTGTGAATACACTGGATGCGGATCATTTGAACGGGATGGGACAGGACGGCTGAGAAAAAATCACTCTTCATAAAGTTTAAGACTGAAGAATCGATGCTCCACACATAGACGTTTAATTCGGATGATTTATATGAAATGGAATGGCAGTAGATGTACGCATGTCGCAAACAGGGGATTATGTTCCATATATGAGAGTCGTTGGTGCTAGGTAAATACGGTAAAACTACAGCCCATAATGCACCCCTAGGGTAAAATGCCCACTTATAGAAAAACAACGATAACTTTTCCTCAGATGAATTTTCCCGGGAACAGATTGTGTTTGTTTTTAACTGGAGGTTTTACAAATAATTCCTGATCACGTTTAACCGTTGGATGGAATGCTATTCAGCCCAAAAAGATAACTTGAATGCAATCAACAAACCAAAATAGAAAACAAATATATCTATTATTTTCCTTCTTACCACGTTCTCTTCTAATTTATTATTATTAAATTACATATTTTTAAATAAATTACCGCAAGTCTCGAACTCGAGTCCTCCTCTTTGAAACCGAGATATATACCACTGCTCTATGTGAATGAAGTGGAATATCATATGATTTTACTCGATGTTTTGATTTCATTCATAAACATGGTTTTCAGAGTAGCCAGATCTACTTTCAAGTTCCGTAAAAACTATTTTAGAACTTCAAAGTCTCTGCATAGTTCATGTAGAACCTTATCTGAACTTTAAAGTTGCTTAAAAGTTCATACGGAACTTATTGTGAACTTGCATCGTTTGACATTTGACAGCTTGTTTTGTTTTCCGCAGAAGTTTTCAGTAACCTTGAAAAGTACGAAACAATTTGACTTAATTGCAGACAATAATTTACCTGTTTTGAGACTTGTTTTATTCAGAAAATCTTCAAGGTATGGTAGTGGAACGCAAACCGCAATGAGATTTATTAATAAACAAAATATTTTTACTTACAGAAATACCATTCGCCGTAGTAGAAACATTGAACGCTCGAGACTGTAAGGAGCTTTCGGTCGTTTCAGATCAATGCTTGCGGAAATTAAAAAGTGGACAGAACAAGATAAATTGATCCGTGACGAAAAAAGCTGCTAGAAATTGACATTTCTAAAGTTGCTTACAAGTTCAAGTCAAGGTTCAGTCGAACTTCTTTCGAACTTATCTAGAACTTTACGTGTACTTTAAAGTCTGAAAGAAGTTCAACATAGATTAATTGTGAACTTTCGCGCTGCTTAAAAGAACGGTTAGTTAAGATTGAACTTTGTGTTAGAGGTTCGAAACAAGTTCTTTATTCACTTTTTGTGAACTTCACAGTTCAAATGAACGGGAACAAGAAACTTCTGTTGAACTTTCAAGGTTCCAATAAATATTGGCGGTACTTTAAAGAGCATTAAGTTCTGTTTGTACGTGTAGTGCCTTGTTAATCAGCAAGAAAATTCCACGGAATTTGAACCAGATGTGAACTTTTGAGTTCGTTTCTCAAGTAAAATCCGAACTTTAGGTTGCTTGGGTTATTTGTGATGTAACATAAAGAAATGATCATTTGAAATACATAATGCCTTTGTATTCTCTACTTGTAGGTTATGGTTTGTCTCTATTATGCAGTGCATTTTACTACAATGTTGTGGTGTATTTTGTCCATTATTGACGTGTGTCTTGCTCAATGTTGTAGTGCATATTGCACCATGAATCAGGCGTTTTGCCTCGATATCATTTTTAAAATATCTTGAAAATCATGAAAGATCATCGTTTTGTAGTTCGAAATCACTCGATATCCGTAGAAAACATGGTAATGAACCATACACCATTATGTACTTTCTCCTTGATTTTAGCCTAAATAAATAAACGAAATAAAAAAAAAATCTGCAACTGCTCAAAAATTCAAATTTTGTGTGTAAAATGTTCTTCCAGGACGGCAGGTTGATCAGGAGGTTAGTTTAGGTTAGGTTAGGTTTATTTTTTAAAGAGACTTTCAGCCATTAGCTGGTTCTTCTCTTGATAAGGTTGATCAGGAAGTATTTAAAAGATCTCCAGCTGATGGAAGATTAGACCTCTTTAAGGTGATTCCTTGTAGAGTTCACAAATGGCCGCCACATAGGCTATTAATGCATAATCACCTCGAATGTTCAACTACACAAAACTCGGAAATTAGAGTTCCATTTCACCTGAAATTGCTGCTACATGTATGCTGCAGCACAGCAAACGTGGAGTAACAGTTTCATTGTAGTACGTATCGTGGAAGCTGATATTTGTGCACTTAAAGTTACGAAGTGGTAGCGAGAATAAGGATCTCACAGCGAACCACCTTAACGACTTCGGGTTGATTAAGTATTATTCTGAATATCGGTTTAAACATTTTAAATAACGTCTCTGAGATATTTTCACAAGATAGCTGATTACCCAAACAAAAATTTGAGCAGATTAAATGTTTCATAAGCCAATTTCTAGCAGAAGAAGCATATTTTTACCTGAATAAGGTCTTATTTAGCTTTCAATGGTTGTTGACTTATTCAAAAGATCTTCAGCTGAAATCTTTACCTGAAGTTTCAATAAAGTCCTCTGGCTACATCGTTAGTAATAACTAATTTTACACGAGACGGAATCCATTTTTGACATAAAGGATGAGCTGTAAGCAAACGTTTTATGTAAGATGAAGTGTTCCGCGACACGGCTCAATCGAAATGACGTCTGAGAAAATGTGGTCATAAATGAAAAACTTAAAAAACTACAATAGCAAAAAGCGCGCATTTTTGATATTTTTGAGCTTGAGTTGGACTAAATGATTGGGACTAGCAAACATCTTTAAAGTTCCATGAATAATAAACCAATTTTGATGAACGAACGGGGAAATTATTTAAGCTTTCGTATATTGGACCAAAAATTGCAGTGGCTACCGGACACTGGAGAAGTTCCGGGAGTTTAGAGGATATATTAAACGTGTAATTTTTCCGAGTAATTGACCGACAATAACATTCCTGGTAAGTTTGCAAAGCTAGGTATCATTCCATTATGTCTCGCTCATCGTCATAATACGAATGATCTCATTGTATACCTTGATAGCTGCATTGTCGAACAAGAAATCCAAGTGATTGAACTCCGGTACTGTTACGTGATAATCAAGCAAGATATTTTTCAGCTTTGTCTTCAACAACTCAACATCCTTCGGATCGACGAACCAGTCGTTATCGCTGTAGTACAAAGCAATGGGAGCCCTGATATTTTCCAGCTTGTACTCGGGAGAGCTCGTGGTATTATATCGCTCGAGGTTTCCAGCAGGCCCGTAGTCGTACTGTCGGAATTTTCCGCTCTGAATAATTTGACCATAGTGTTCGAACTGCTTCAGCGATGATCCGGCCGGAACGGTTTCCATGATTCTTCTTATTACCGATTGGTTGAGTTGCAACGAGCGCATCCCACTGGAGGAGTACATGATAATTAGGAACACTTCCGGTGGCATTGCGTCCGTCAGAGCCGCTCTGGTGGCTCCGAGAAAAGAGGAGTCATCATCATGGGCTAAAAGTACCCAGTTGCCCGTCATCTGCGATATTAGCTGTTGAGAAATGTTGCTTGTTAATATTTGAGCTTCAATTTAGTCGTTAATTATACTCGTATTTCCTTCATCCTCGGGATAAATGCTCGGCTCGGAGGCGAATAGGTGTGATTCATAAAACAGGTGGGCGCAAGTAGATGAGCGGTCTCGATCTTATCGCCATACTGAGGCATTATAGAGTTTAGGACAAAAAATGACGTTGTCCCTTGAGAATGGCCGATGTAGTGCAACTTGGTAAAGCCAGACACTCTCAGTACGTAGTTGATTAGTGCCGGGAGATCAAACACACCGATCTCGTGCCAACTGAAATCCCAAAATTTTTCACTTGCAACGTTGAGTTTCGTGTGTTTCCGGGAGAAGGTATTCCCTCGGCAGTTTGGCAGCCAGACATCGAAACGGGCGTCGAATATCCGCATCGCTAGCGATTGTTTTCCGTAGATGCACCATTCGGCAGATGAGTACAGCAAACCATGAACTATTAGAGCCGGTCGTCGTCCAGGGTTTGGCATTCGGAGAACGGTTAGAATGTAGCCATCGCTGGTAACTACCTTGTGACTTTCGACCGGGTAGCCATGGCGGGTTACGGTTTCCTCCTAGGAGTTTAGTTGATTTCTGCGTTAATCCATTATTGAACTCAGTTTTGCGAAGGTCACTTACAATCGTTATTCTGTGTGCTCTGATTACACCCAATTTTAAACAAATGCTGCATGACAGTAGCCAAACGACAAACATGCCATTCATGTTGAGTTAAACTGAACCAATCCGCGCGATGGGTGGCAATATTTAAATGGGAGTCATTACCATCGGTAACAGTTATAATCGCATTTATCGGACATCGGCATCTGAGATCAAACACACGGCTGCTGCTCGTATCGTAAAACAATGACAGGGAAAATTCATTCGCATTGTTGAATGGGACCAACAAGCATGGCTAATATGGCTGTTCGTGACCTGATGGGGACAGCAATGTAGTAAATCCGTGAAAATAGGGTACATGTGATGTTTAAGAGCAAATTGGCGGGCGGGCTCTTCTCCCCACTCATTGGGACATCCCCTCAAATATTGGCTTGTTCTTTATAGCGTTGTTGGGTTTTTATCATTGCGGGTCACGCGTAAGTGTCCCCGCTCACGGGTCTGCCCTCCGTTTTTGGCCCTTCATAGGGTGGTGAACTTAGTAAAATTGCGATCTTAAAATAAATCAAGTGGGGTAGATGTACTAATTACGGCTATAGTTTGTCAATCGAAATCAATTATTTTGTTCAATTGTTTGTTTGAATTCATATGACTCCATATATTATACCAAATAGTAAAGCTTAAAGTTTAATTATTAAGATAAACATATCAAATGTAAACGATCGATGGATAAAACTGAATTATAATTATGATAATGATGCTTATTCGAAGCACTGATAAAAAAAATCATTATTTTGTCCCACATCGTATATGTATGGTTGTAATTAATAAATTTTTAGTTTTCCGGTTTGTTTTCTTCGTTTTAGTCTTCTTCTTCGTGTTCCTGGATTCTAGCTTTCTTTTCTTCTTATTTTTTATACTTTGCGTCTTTTCGTGCAATCTTTTTTTGTCTGTTCAATCTCTTTTTGCTCTGCTCCTTTCTTCCGAATCGCTTCTAGACGTTCCCCATCTGTGAGAACGGGCGTAGGGGACAATTGTACATAACGCACCCCCTGGTCAGAACGCACCAGCTGACTTTCATTTGTTTTTTTTCATGGCTTTTTCGTAGCTGTTTTGATGTCTTATTAAGCAGCACTTCTTGCATAGCATCTGAACTCGAAATGCTGCATGATCAGTCCTAAAATTGGATCGAAAATGCCAGGTAAAACTCAATATAAAATGGAAAAGTGTGTTCTACCCCGGGGGTGCGTTATGCAACATTCTCCCCTATACTGAATTGAGTATTTCCGATGTTTTCCATTTCGACGAGGTGTGAGTGTAATTCTTAGTACATTGGATTGCCTAAGCTTAGGAGCGGCACAGCCTAGCGCCGTTGAATTATTTTGAAGATTTACCGATTCTACAGAGTTTTCTGTTGCATCTCAGGAATGAAATAATTATAAACATATAACATACATAATGCTCTTATACTGGAAATCACTTTTACCTACGAAGTGGTTCTCTTGCAGAAAAGAATCAGCTTGTGGTGTTACTGAAACAGATACAGAAGTCATAATAAATTATCCATTTTTCAAAAACTTGTACTCACTATCATTGATGGATGTGTCTTACTGCAAGAAACAACATAAAGCATTCATAGTTGGATGTGACGCAAATGCCCATCATACAGTGTGGTCCAGTTCAGACATCAACAGCAGAGGTGAGTGCCTTTTAGACTTTATCTCAAAACATGAAATAGATATATGCAACTTTTATAAACACAATTAGGCAAGAAGTTCTTGACTTAACACTATGTAGTCCAACGATTTCTGACAAAATCAAGAATTGGCACGTATCGGATGAAGTATCTTTGTCCGATCATAAGCAAATTATATTTGATTATGAAGTTAACCGACAAATCATTGAAACTATAAGAGATCCCAGGAAAACTAACTGGGAGCAATACAACTCAAAGCTTATAGTTGGAGTCAATAACTTGAGATGATGTTCAAAGACATGCAATGAACTTGAGAAAAATTCTCATCAGCATTCAAGCTTAATCCAACAAGTTTATTACGACAGCTGTCCTTCAAAGGAACGCTCTACGAATAGGGATGTACCTTGGTGGAATAAAACCTTAGAGAAACTTCGGAAGAAAACCCGGAAGCTATTTAACCGGGCGAAAATAACAAGACAATGGGATCAATACAGGGAAGCCCTCACATGTTATAATAAGGAAATCCAAAGATCTAAAAGGAAGGACTGGAGGCATACATGTGAAAACATTGAAAATACTCCAGTTGCTGCCAGATTGCAAAAAGTCCTTTCAAAAGATCATTCAAATGGCTTAGGAACTCTTGAAAATGAAGACGGCACTTTTACTAAGTCTGTGGAAGAAACATTTGAAATAATGATGAAAACACACTTTACATGTTCAATTACCAACATAAATGAAGACCAAAATACACGTGCAGCGCAAACTGGCTCTGGAAAAATCAGGACGGAAGTTCAGACACCAATGAATGAATCGACTGGGTTAGAGATTGCCAGGAAAGACGCTCGTAATCTGGCCAATAGAATTTTTACAGAAAATCGAGTCGAATGGGCGATTGATTCTTTTGCTCCTTTCAAATCACCAGGTAGGGACGGAATGTTTCCAGTACTACTTCAGAAAGGAAAAGAAACTTTGACGCCCATTCTAACAGGCTTGTTTAGAGCAAGCTTAAGATTAAGTTATATTCCGATAACTTGGCGTCAAGTAAAGGTTATATTTATTCCGAAGGCTAGTAAAAAGGATAAAACTTCTTCTAAATCCTTCAGGCCGATCAGTTTATCATCCATTATGCTAACAATAATGGAGAAAATAATAGATCAGCATATAAAATCAACGTACTTGATTATAATTCCTTTGAGTAAATATCAGTTTGCATATCAAGCTGGTAAATCAACAGTAACAGCTCTTCACACGCTTGTTACAAAACAAGAAAAATCTTTTGAATCAAAAGAAATGTCACTAGCAGCATTCATTGATATTGAAGGAGCATTTGATAATGCATCTTATAACTCCATGAAAAACAATATGTTGAAGCGTAGACTCGACAAAAGCATCGTTAAGTGGATTAATGAGATGCTTTCTAAAAGAGAAATCTCAGCAAATCTTAGAAGCTCATCCATAACAGTTAGAGCTGTAAAAGGTTGTCCTCAAGGAGGTGTGCTTTCACCTCTTTTATGGTCTTTAATTGTTGACGAACTTCTCAAAAACTTAGATGCAAATGGCTTCGAGATAATTGGCTTTGCTGATGACGTAGTCATAATAGTACGAGGAAAATTTGATAATATCATTTCAAATAGAATGCAAACTGCTTTAAATTATGTTTCGTCGTGGTGCGCTAAAGAAAGGTTGAATATAAACCCTTCTAAGACCACTATTGTACCGTTCACACGGAAAAGGAAATTTTCTATAAATAACTTAAAATTGAAAGAAACCTCTTTAGAACTTTCACGAACAGTCAAGTATCTGGGAGTCATTCTTGACAGTAAACTTAACTGAAATTCACATATAGAGCAGGTTGCTAATAAGGCAATACATGCTCTTTGGATAAGTAAAAAGTTTGCTGGCTGAAAACTAATGAAAAATCGGCTCAGAAGAAGCTGGGGAGACTGCAAAGACTAGCTACTCTCTCAATAACTGGTGCAATGAACAGCACACCGAGTATTTCACTAGATGCTCTACTTTATCTGACTCCGTTGTATCAATTTATCCAATTAGAAGCTGAAAGGAGCGCTTTAAGGATTCAACGAACTAAGTACTTCCTTGAAGGTGATCTTACAGGACACCTTAGCATTTTAAAAATGTTTGATATTGATTCTCTTGTATTAAAAAATGAAGACTGGATGGAGAAAAAAATATAATTTCGATCGTTTATGCAATGCAGCAAAATTTGATCGTAATGTTTGGGAAAGTGTGGGACCAAACATCCGTCCAGGTTCAACTGTTTTTTATACAGACGGTTCAAGATTGAACAACCGTGTGGGAGCAGGGGTAACTGGTCCAGAGATTGATATCTTAATATCCATGGGTTACTGGCCAACCGTGTTCCAAGCAGAAATTCAAGCAATTCTTGAATGCTCTGTAATATGCTTGCGCAGGAATTATAAACATTCGAATATCTGCATTATGTCTGATAGTCAAGCAGCATTAAATGCTTTAAAATCAGCAACATGCAATTCCAAACTCGTATGGGAATGTGCAATGTCACTTCAGAAATTGGCCTGTCAAAACCAAGTAAACTTATATTCCTGGCCACTGTTGAATTGAAGGGAATGAAAAAGCCGATACGTTAGCCAGGCTAGGATCATCTCAGCAATTCATAGGACCAGAACCATTCTGTGGAGTTTCTACTTGTTCTCTTAAAATGGAGATCAAGGAATGGAAAAAAATGAAAGTGGAGACCAATTGGAACAACTCTTCCATTGCTAGGCAGTCGAAACGGTTCATAATTCCGAACATTTCAAAGACTAGCAAAATTCTTGAATTATCAAAGAAAGATCTCAGTGTCTATACTGGTTTGATAACAGGACATTGTCCATGTAAATATCATTTGAAGCTAATAGGAAAACTTCAAGAGGATATGTGTCGATTCTGTGGTATAGAAAAGGAAGACTCTGAACACCAGCTATGCTCTTGTGCAGCAATCTTCAATAAAAGGCATATTTTTCTGGATAAGAGGCTGGCAGAACCCTTTGATGTTTGGAATGCAGATCCCATTAAAGTAGTACATTTCATTCGAAATGTAATACCTGGCTGGGAAAATGCTTTTGGTCAGTCTATGTCGGTCGCTTCACAAAATAGTGATATGACATAACTGATAAAGCAATATAAAAATGGGGAATATCACAATAGATCAAAGTAATGGTCACTGCGAGTGATGAATACACCCAACACGGAAAAAAAAATCATTGATGGCATCCCAATGTACGCTCAACAGTCGCATTTTCCACGGATTGCATTGTGATATACCGTGCCGATTCAAATTTCGGACACTTAAACTCGAATTTCGGACACTTTTAAAAGTTGATTATCTCGGTCGAATATGATCCACATGTCTTGTAAATTTTAAATTTTTTTG